GGATACGTAGAAGCAAGACACATAATCATGTCAAGCACCCTAATAAAAAACTTATTTTTAGTCCTCTTTTCTCTTGTAAATATCTTGCAACAATAAGTTAAAATCATAAACACACACGGTAACACTATTATTTGCAAAACTAACTAAACGATTTACGTTGAGTATAACAGATGCGAGGGATGATAATACCTACCCCTTGCATAACTGACTCCCATGACCTCCACATTTTATCACCTTTGGATTCTATAATTGTAATGATATATATCATGCTATTGTATTTTTACCATGATTACCAGTCAGTGGTAGTAAAGAAGACGCATACTACAACATCCTACGTTACCACGAGTAACTAATCATGGTGGAATCCTTCTTCCAACCGTGATTAAATGGTATTTTGTAGTAGTGAACTTTCCAATACATTAAGGACGATATCTCTATCTTACTTGAACTTAACATTAAGTTTCATAGAAAACACTGTTTCTTAGTCGGGCTAATTCATATCACCTACTAGAACATGTTTCTCATTAGCTTAATCGTCAATTTCCTCCATTAACTTCCCATATTAAATAATAATGAACAACCCAATCTTCATAAAGTTGAGGTCAAGATACATGAATATGACTTGCTTCTTTGCCTTCTTGGAGGAATGGTCAGAAGAAAGAAGGGACTTCATGTGCCACTTCTCTAAATTGGCTTCTAGCGACCTCACAACAGAAGCATAACTTACGATCGCCTCCTCTAGACTTTGTAATTTGGCTTCATCCTGGGACAATGTGTCACCCTAATTTTTTGTAGGTTTCCTTCATAGTTTTCTTCTCTTTTTGCATTCTTTCATTCTCTTTCTCCAAGTTTTCAATATAAAGTGTGTATCTTTGTACTTTTTTTCAAGAGAATATAAGCCATCATTCGCTGAACTCAACAAATTTTGGTTTAACTCTAAACCCTCCTCCAATTTTCCAAGGTCATATTTTAATTTCTCCTCACTCGTCTCCACTAAATCAAACTCTTCAAACATTACCTTTCCTAGCACACATTACTTCTCATATATAGGTCCCTAACATTAACAACATTTGATTATGAACCATATTCCTTGGCCTTTGAACATCGTTGAATGCATCAAGATTATCGTAGACAAAAATCATGTAAACAAAATAATTACCCTAGAAGGATAAATCCTATTGATCATCTAAAGGCGAGACGATGAACCATGGGAAGAACCAACCATGCCACCTTTGGGAAAGGTTCCCCCTCTAAACTTATAGGTTGAACTTTTCCCATGTCAACCTTATGTTTTGGCCTTGCGTGAGAGGAAATACGACTTCACAACAGAGATGAGCATAACTTGGAAGGCACAACTCTCCTATGTAACTTTCCTTTTCTTAGAAGCTCTAGTTAATACACTGGTAGAGTCACTTTTCTAATTATGAGTCCTCATTTCGCCTTTCCTATTTTTTGACCGCCTCCAACATCACATTGTTTTGAGATATTCATAACAAGTTCATTCTTTCTGCATATAGTAAGATCAAAAGTGTTATAATAAGACAAATAAACAGCGAAAAATTAGGTAAACAAAAGCACACTTACGTAAATAATTATAAAGCTTTGTTTTATCTTCTTCGTAACCCATTAACTCTCTAACACTACGCTAAACTGCTCCAAAAATTTAAAATCGTCTTTCTTTGCTTCACTAAATTTGTCAAAATCGTATCACATGATTGACACAATATCGTTTTTCTTATAAAGTTGAAATTTGTGTTTATCATCCTTATCAAAGATGATGTCAAGGTAATCATTGTTACCTCAATCTAGAATAATATTGTCCACCATAGCAAATAAGAGGTGAAAGACACTAAGATATGCTCTAATACCAAATTTAAAGAAATGAGATAAAATTATTCTCAATTGAAATAATTTATGCAAGAATTTATCTATTTAGAACTAATATAGAGATATAATCGTAAGTTAATTGCAGAAATTCTACATTAATTACATGATATTAATAATAAAATGTCGTCTAGAATGTAAAACAAACTAAAAAAATAAAATAATATATAATACAAGAATATTTATAACAATATTATGCAATACTTTTTCTTTTGAAGACCTACGATTTTTGAGACCTAATAGAAGAGTCCTTCTAGTAAGTTATTTTTGAGACCTAATAGAAAGGTCCTTCTAGTAAGTCATTTTTTCAAATGTCATACACCATCAATTGTGAATGTCATATCACATACAAAGTGATGTAAGAGCATCTCCAACCGTGAACCCATTTTTGGGTTCTTTGTGGGACATATTAAGTCACGTCAACTTGAAGCAACTTAACTAATTTTTCACTCCAATTGTGCAACTCTGAAGAACTCATATTGGGTCCCACAACTTTACTTTATATATTAATATTTTATTCATATTAAATTTTATATCACTTAAAATAATAATTTTAATTTTTTACAGAAAATTATTCCAGTCTACTATATACCCCAACGGGTATATAGTGTTGTTTTAAGGAAAAATATTTCATTCTACTATATAAACTTAAAAAAAATTTAGATTAAACTTTAAAAAATATTTCAATCTCTCAGTTAATTTTAGTGTTTTAAATTAAATTTGATATAAAATAAAAAAAATTAAATTAAACTTATAATTTAAAATGATAATTAAAATTAATCTCAAATACATGATATATAATTAAAAATAATAAAAATAAATAACATCACATAATTAATCAAACTTAAATTTCATCATCTTCATATCCAAAACGTTCCCAAATATATTCGACTAGATCTCCTTGAAGTTTACGATGAACTTGTTTTTCTTGAATACTTGCTCTTCTTTATAGTCTTGTTGCAAGATTCGGATGAAGACCGCTAAATGTTTTAGTTGTTGAGTTATTGATATCCATATTATCATAAGAGTAATTAAAATTACCTCCATATGTATGTCGTTCGTCTTCCACAATCATGTTGTGCAATATGATGCAAGCATATATGGTATGCTTGAGAGTGTCCATGTGCCAGGCACGCGCTGGGCCATGTATAATTGCAAATCGAGATTGAAGCACTCCAAATGTTCGCTCCACATCTTTTCTAGCCGATTCTTGATGTTGAGCAAATAATTTTTTCTTTTCTCCCTGTGGCATTGAAATAGTCTTGACAAATGTAGCCCACTCGGGATATATACCATCTGCTAAATAATACCCCATATATGGTGTCCCATTGATTGTATATTACACATTGGGAGCACGTCCTTCCAAAATATCATTAAACACGTTGGATTGGTTTAGCACATTAATGTCATTATTTGAACCTGCAATACCAAAAAAAGCATGCCAAATCCATAAGTCTTGTGATGTCACTGCTTCAAGCATGATTGTGGGCTTACCATGATCACCTCGACAAAATTGTCCTTTCCATGCAACAGGACAATTTTTCCATACCCAATGCATACAATCAATGGAACCCAACATACTTGGAAAGCCACGTGACTCTCCCAAGATGTTCAACATCAGTGTTGTTAGGCTTTCTCAAATACTCAGCGCCAAATACAACATTGACACCCTTAACAAATCTTTCTAAGCACTCAATTGAAGTGCTTTCACCGATTCGAACATATTCGTCTACAAGGTCAGCAGGAGACCCATACGCCAACATACGAATAACAGATGTACATTTCTGCAATGGTGAAAGACCCATTTTACCTGTTGCATCGACCCTCATTTGGAAATATTCATCATGATTTCCAAGGGCATCTACAATTCGAGTAAATACATTCCTATGCATTCTGAACCTTCTTCGGAATTGAACATCTGTGTATACTGGATTTTCCGAGAAGTACTCATTGAATAATCGATTGTGCCCTTCTTCACGACCTCGATCTACCGTTGTTCTTCTCTTTGGCCTAGAGAAACTTCCAGATCGACGTTCATTTTGAATTTGTTGTTCTTCATCACTATCGTCCATAAATTCTTCTTCAAGCAACCCCCAAAATTCTTGATCGTAAGTATCTGAATTGTCTGAATCCATTTAGTGAGTAAAGAATAAGAGAAAAATAAGAAGAATAAGATGAGAATGAGAGAACAATGACATAAGTGGTAGTATATATAATGGTTAGTTTGAATAATGGCTAGTTTGAATAACGACTAGTTTGAATAATGACTAATTTGAATAACGGCTAGTTTGAATAACGGCTAGTTTAAATTAAAGTGGTAGTTTGAATAACGACTAATGACCATTTTACATAGGTGTTGATAAGTTAAAGTGGTACTAAAGACCATTTTACATAGGTGTTGATAAATTAAAGTGGTACTAATGACCATTTTACATAGGTGTTAATAAATTAAAGTGGTACTAATGACCATTTTACATAGGTGTTGATAAATTAAAGTGGTACTAATGACCATTTTACATAAGTGATACTAACTATATTCCATATTTTTTTTCCATCTTATTACAATATTTTTCATGAATATCTCGTTGACTATCGTTCATAGTAGAAGCGTCTTTCATCATCATTTGCACTAGCCTTAATTCTAGCTCGTCCTCCTTAGCTTGCGCAAGTCTGTCGATTGTTATTGCTCTTTTATTCTTTGCATCTTGCGTTGCATTTGGAATTTCTGAGGCCTTACCCTTCCTTTTTGCTGCTTTTTGTCCCATTGGACGCTCCATTGGTGATGATGAGTTAAACTCATAACTTGAAGTTGTATTTGGGTTCTCCGATGATGCCCCACTAGCATAAGTCTTTGTTATTTTTGCAGAACTTCCAATCGATTCTTCGACGATGCGCCATTTAACTTCATCTTTAAACAATCGCCATGCATACTCAAGATTGAATGTTGTACTTTGATCCTGAACAAAAATAGCATGTGCATCTGCCATGACATTGGTCTCGGATGTCCCACTTTTCTTTCCTTTAAAAGCTATTTTGTAACACCCAACAAATTTTTGAACCATGCCATTTATTCTATGCCATCGACATTTTAACTGTCCCCCTAACTTTTCCCGCAATTACCCACGATATTGGTTATAACTAGCAGCAATTCTTAACCAAAAATTCTCAGCCTTTTGATCAACTCCCACAATTGGATCCTTTGAAACATTGATCCATGATTGGATAAGTAGTATATCTTCTTCCCTTGTAAATTGCTCTCGAGATCTTTTTTTAACGACAACCCTTTCTTCTTTTTCAGTATCAACTTGAGTAGAAAATGGTGGGACTTGAGTAGAAAATGATGGAACTTGAGTAGAAAATTCCATACTATTAGAATTCATTTGAGGTATAAGATACATATTTGGATTGTTTGGTGACAGAAGAAATATGGCGGGGTTTGTCGACACCAGTGGAATTTGAGAATTTTGAGGATTAGGATTTTGAGAATTTTGCATGTAATTGAAAAAAGCTTGTTGATAATGAAAATGATTAGGATCCATTTGGCCTAAACAATTGTAATTTGAAGTAAAAAGATGAAATTTTGAGTTAAATATTTTGTAAAAAAAAATGCTAATGAGAAAAAATTGTTAAAAAAAATTAAAAGTATATGAATAAAATGATGAAATTGTGAGAGAGAAATTTCAAATTGAAGAGAAAATAAAAGTGAGAGAAATTTGTGTTGGTAAATTTTTAGAAATCTAAATTATATTTATAATAAAAAATAAATTTCAAAAAATAAAATAAATAAAAAAGTAGCCGTTGAAACGACTAATTTTTATATTTATTATATTTTAATAGGTTAAAAAGGTTTTGGATCATTGCTTAATGAAGCAACCTCCGCCAACCTGAAATGAAGCATAATTCAAATGCCATGTGCCAACTGGCGAACTACAATAAAAATCCAACGCTGGAGTTGGTCTAAAAAGCACATTCATTATATCTACTTAAGTTATTTAAATTGGTCTCACTTATTTTTTTTACATTATATTATATTTTAAAATTATTTAAACAATTCAATTATATTTTTTAAATAACTCATCAAATACTCTAAAATGAATCCCATAAAATACTACAATATATATCACTAATTTTTTTTACATTCATTACCATTTAAATAATTAAGCAAATGCATAGGTGAGCATAAATATTTTCTTTTACATTTATTACCATTTAAATCTCAAAAGCCAAAACACACACTACACTCTCTCCGTCTCTCTCTCTCTCTCTCCGTCTCTCTCTCTCTCTCTCTCAAAGATCGAAGCGAGAAACAATGTCGGGGAAAGGAGCGAAGGGTTTGACAACTGGTAAAACCCCATCATCCCTCAAAGACAAGGACAAGAAGAAACCTACTTCTCGTTCCTCCAGAGCTGGACTTCAGGTTCTCCTTCTTCATCTCTCTATTTCATTCTTTTCCGTTTATTATTTATCAAAATCTTCTAAATTTTCACTTTTTTCACTCTTTTCTTATGGATCCACATCTTCGTCACATTTACGTTATGGTACATACCTAAAGTCTCGATTTTTATGTGTTTCGTTTTTAAAAAATTGTAATTGGAAAATAGGATTTACTTTTTGTGAGAGAAACTGTATTTTAGATTTGGGGTTTTATGTATGATATAGGTTGGAGTACAAAGATTGATTTTTTACTAAGATTGAGATTTGGGTACATTGTATTCTTGATGAGATTGTTGTTGTACCATGAAAGTCTATGTAATGATTTTCATTCTCATGTTTGTTTTCACTGAAGCATTTTGCTTGATAAAGCAGAGGTCCACCCCCTTTTATATGGTTTGTTGGGAAGGGCTCAGTCCATCCTTCTACTATAATTACCTTGTTTTGTATTATGACGGATGAAGCGCGTGAGTGCACACGTCACATGTGCGCTCACCTGTGAATGAAGCGCGTAGCGCTCAAATGTCTGCCCTGGTACATCCACATTAGGAATAATAATTTATTAAAATGAACAATTGAATATAACCATATGTGTGTGTTGATGCTGGATATTGACACACTAACATGTGTTGTTACTGAACTCACCTTGTTTTACAAATGCTCTGCGGTCATGGGACTTGTCTAGGTTTTTCTAACATGAAAAGTCTTGAGTTCTTCAATTTCTTGATTCTGTTCTCTGAACTCATGTCAAACCCATGCTCCATGTTTGAAGAATGTAGTCAACACGACCTAATTGAAAACAACCTTTTTGTTTTATGTTATGCATATATCTGCGTTTATTCTACTGCATATTGGTAACCTTTTCTCTAAAATTTGTAGTCTGACTGCAAATCATGTTGAACTTGTTAGGATTGTTTTGATTTGTCTCTGATAATATCTCCTTACATACAGTTCCCTGTTGGTCGTATCCATCGTCTTCTAAAGTCAAGGACAATGGCGCATGGAAGAGTCGGGGCAACCGCTGCAGTTTATTCTGCTGCTATCCTAGAGTATTTAACTGCAGAGGTGCTGGAGTTAGCTGGTAACGCAAGCAAGGATCTGAAGGTGAAGCGTATTACACCAAGACATCTACAGCTTGCTATCCGTGGAGACGAAGAACTTGACACTCTCATCAAAGGAACAATTGCCGGAGGTGGTGTTATTCCTCATATCCACAAGTCTCTTATCAACAAGTCTTCAAAGGAATGAAGGTTCGTAATTTGCCCAAGTCAGCGTGGAAAAAGATGGATTATGATGTAAATTTGTTGATGATAACTTGATTTGTGGATAATTTCCTCGTTGCTTTGGTTTGATTGATTCAGTCACATTTAGATAATTTGATATTTTCTTTTATTTATATGGATTATGTTAACTGACATGCACACTTTTGTCCTATGGTGCTGCATGTCTAAGATTTATGTTGGATTTTTTATCTTGTTAAACTTTTGTCTTTGCTTTTTCTTTGAACTGCTTGACAATGGAGTAATCGATAGACTTTTGCTTCTGGTTTCGATATTTCTTTGTTCACACTTTTGTCCTATGGTGCTGCATGTCTACAAGCTTTAATGTGTTGTGATTCAAATGAAAATTTTGTTGCGGCCATGACAGAGGCTTAATTCTTTTCTGCATAATGCTGAAGGATATAAGCTTTGAGGCTGTTAAAGACTCTTTGAAGTCGATTACCAATTGACATCAGGAGTATGGCTCTGGTTAGATTCGGGAGTGAAAATTCAGTGTGCGAGGATGTCAGATCTCGCGAGTCTGGTTGAGAAAGTTGCACAAACCTTCTCACCAAGATTTGACACAGTTTACGACCCGGTTTTTATAAAATCAGAAAACCTAATCTTTTAATGTCTCCTAATTGTAACTTCTTGTTTTGCATTTTGCAATATTCTGTTTCACGATGGTTGATTTTTTCGTCTTTTCCTTATGAAACTTTCATCTTATCTTCTAATTTTGATTTTAAAAAAAAAATCATATATAGTATTTGATATCATTATCTGCACCGGTAACCCGAATCTATTGTGACATATACTCTTTTAAGAAAGAGTTTAGACTATTACTTAAGGATGTCATCGGACAGAAAATGTGCCGGGCATGATTTCTCACTCTCCACCCCGCCACAGAAATTTGGGGATTCATAGAGATTTGAGTCTTAAGAAAAATTATATTTTTTTGCCTTTTTTCAAAAGATATATTTTGCATCTTTATTTTTCTTAAAATAAAAATTTAGCTTGTATCAATGATAAAAAATGCAAAAACACTTCTATTTACGAAAGTATAGCCACTAATTTACTAATTGAATGAAAAATAAATTATTAATTGAAGTATATTGAAGTTAAAGAGTAATTATTATAAACACAGTGAATGAGAGATTAGTTGTTGTGATGATGATGAGAACAAAGGAGACGAAGAATAAAGGAGCCAGAGAATTGAAAAAGTGAAAGAAGAAATGGTGTGTATATTATATTTAATTGATGTTTTAGGGTTGAATACTTGAATAGTAAAGCGATACATTATATAATTTTTAAAAAAACGCCGATAATTTTTTATTTTTTAATATATTAATTATTATTTTTATAAAAAAAATATGCAAAATTATATAATTATATATTATATATAAAAATTAAATAATATAATCTGGGTCGAGGGAATCCGAAAGGTAGAAAGTACTTTTCCGATCTCCTACTCTAAAGTGTTATTTGGAGATTTTTTCCCTCAATTTCTATTTCCACAAAAAGAAAAAAATCCCCAACTTCTGAACTTCGCATAAATAATATTCACAAAATTTTTTATTTAACATATGCAAATTGACATTTTTACTATTACTAAATACACATTATTTATCTCTTTCTTTTTTTCAGCTATTTCATTTTTAGAATTTGTATAACTTTTTCTTTTTATTGTTTCTAATAAATTTTTCTTATTTGTATGTTCCTTTTTTTTCTTTAAAAAGAATTATATTATTTTTTAACATCAAAGTAGTTTGATATCTGTTTTTTATTTTTTGGTATATGTTCTAATTTTTTGAAAATTTTAATTATTATATCTATGTTATTTATATGAGTTTTCTATAATTCTAAAGTTATGTTTGACTTAAAGAAGAAACTGAGAAGAGAGAAAACAAAATGAGAGAGGTCGAAAATGAGAGACCGTTGTAAAGAAAGAAATATGTGATCATTAAAATAGATTTGAGGTATGATTTATCATATAAGAAAGAAATGAGAAAGGAAGAAGAGACAAGTTATATATTTTTATGTATGGGCATATATATATATCTCTTCTAAAATTACTTTTAAAATCAACTATGGTAGATCATTATAGATCTTATGAGTTAGGATTCTTTTGTCTGATACTAACCGGAGACTTGGTTGGTGATTAATTGGGAGTCGTTCATGGCTTTCAATCAGGAGGCTCCCATTTCTAAAGAGAGAACCATGCCAATAATGAGGGACTCGTATCTTCTTGATTGTTGATGACCTTGAATTCAAAAGTTAATGTTTGCTTGATGAGTATGTCTTCACTCTTCAGGTCTTTCTAAGACTATTCTTGCATCGCTCCTTTTCACGTTTTCGGCACCATCAACTGATAGTGCCCACTCGGGGATGACTCATCATTTACAAGCGATCTAAATTATGCCATGAAATCTGCAAGAGCTTAAGATTTGATGCTTTCTCTTGGAACATACTGGATATCATACTCTGACATTTCCACCACCCAAGACACCATCCTTCATGCCAAATTTGGCTTCTTCAGGACCTGTCAAACATAATAGTTGGTTTTAACGAAGTTTTGTGACCTGAAAGTAAGGTCTTAGCTTCCTAGCTACAACACCGACGACCAACACCAGCTTCTCAATTTTCTAATAACGCGTTCTAGCGCGTTTAAACACTTTGCTTATGAAATACACAAGTCTTTCTACCTTATTTATCTCCTGGACGAGTACTGAGCTCATCGCCTGATCTGTGACCGAGATGTAGAACAATACGGGTGATTCCTCCCTTAGGAGAAAGAGAATGGGGGCGATGCAAAGAAATCTTTTACCCTAGAGAAATCCCCATTGTATTCTACAATCCATTTGAATCTCTTTTTCTTCTTCATAGCAGAAAAGAAAAGGAAAGCATTGTCGCTCGTGAATGAGAAGAAACGAGATATGGCGACGAGGTGACATATAAGTTGTCGTACTTCCTTGATGTTTGTGGGGCTTCTCATATAGATTACGACTTGGAATTTATCTGGATTGGCTTCACTGCATCTCTTAGTGAGCATGAACCCTAGGAACTTTCCGACCTGAAATTCGGAGGAGCACTTGGCGGGATTCAAACGCATATCGTACTTCCTAAAAAACTATAAGACATCCTCCAAATCTTCGACATGGCTACACCTTTAAGTAGTTTTCACTAACATGTAGTCAACATAGACCTCTAGGTTGTGACCTATCTGGTGGGAGAGCACAATGACCATGAGTCGCTGGTTGGTGATTCCAACATTTTTGAGGCCGAATGACATAACATTTTAGTAGTGGTTGTCATGATTCAGCATGAATGTTGTTTTTGGGGGTGTCTAAGGGATCCATCTAATTTGGTTGTACCTTGAGTAGGCATCCATTAAGCTTAAAATGCGGTAACTTGAGGATCCATCGATAAGACAATCGATCTCCAAAAGTGGGTACGAGTCTTTGGGACAGTCATCGTTCAAATCAATAAGTTCCACACACATGCACCATATGTTCGCTACCTTCTTCACCAACACCACATTGGCGACACTCTTATCCTCACCAACTTTCAGCTTCCTCTGCACCACCGTCTTGGAAGATGGGTCGATGGCAAGGCGTTGGATCAACATTTTAGTTTCTATTTCGGGCATATCATAGGGATCTCAAATGAATAAGGTGAATTTTCTAATGAGTTGGTCGACTAGCTCGTGTTCTTCTTCCTCGGTAAATAAAGTGCCTATCTTCTTCACCTAATGGGTTGAAGGGCCTATTCTCACTTCAGGTCCTATTTAGGCGTGAGTCTCTCAATGTTTGTGCCCTTTCTGGGTCCTAATAATTGACATCAGCATCTGGAGCTCCATTTAGGGGTTGCCCACATGGGGAGCTCTTTCCTCTTTGTCGCCAAGCTATTCTGATAACATTCTTAAACTGTCTGTTGGTCTCCTCGAATCATACCAAATTGTTCACCAGGCATCGGGTACCTCGGGACCTCATATTTGGTGGAAATAAATGCCCCTAACGCATATATTTTGGGTCGACTTAGGAGTACATTGTATGGAAATAATGCGTCTATGATAAGGTAATTGACTTCAATCTCCTCGGTGTATGCTCCCACGCCACATGTTGTCTCTAGGGTCACGTGGCCCCTTACTTGTACCTGTTTTCATAACAATCCTATTAACGAGCCCCTGAACACTATGACAACGTTGGGATTTAGATGAAGCTTTTGAAAAGAATCCTTGAACAGGTCGCCAACAAAACTTCCATGATCTATCAAGACTCGCTTGATATCTTGGTTTCCATGTTGCACAAGGATTATCATAGGGTCATTATCTTGAGGGTTGACCATGATGGTGGAATGTTGCATGTCTATTTCCTTGGGAGGACATGGATCGGCTACTAACCCTGACTTCTCTCAGACCAAGAAACATCTTTTCCCATATTTTCCATAGTTGAGTGAGTGGAAGGTACTTGGGGCGAGACGATATCTTCTAGAGGGCGGAATATGGTTGTCGCCTCTTTGAGGGGTTGCAAAGCTCTCACCCTTGTTAGAATCTTTACAACTATAACACTACAACACCAATAGGGTTGGTTAAAGTAAAACTTACTACATGGAAATATTAATCTACAACATAATACAACGAGAAAATGAAATGAAATGGTAGTCTAAGTCTATTTAAAACACAAAGAATCCAAGATTCCCAATTCCCTACGTATCTTGCGAAAAGGTTCCGTGGATAACAGTTTTACAAAAATATCATCCAAATGATTTTTCGTGTCCGCGTATTCAAAAATAACATCAAATTTTTCAACATGATTCCTAAGAAAATGATGCTAGATTTTTATATGTTTAGTACGTGAATGAAGTACATGATTCTAAGTAAGACTTACAGTGCTAGTGTTATTGCATAATTGTTGCTTTAGCTATATGACTTGTGCACAACAATTTCTGACGAATAGATATTAAGCTTTAGTGGTAGAAGGAGAAATGATA